AACTTTACTAAGAACTTTTTTGGGGGCCCTGGTGACTTATTTCACAGTTACACTTGATAAATAACCACCAAAAATAACGAATGATAGCGAAATATTTGTATGAAAGAACAGAAGCTTCCTCACTCACCCAGACACACAGCCAGACTAACACATCCCATACTGCCAATAAGCAAATAATGGCCAATAAAACCCGGGGGCCGAAAATACAGCCTATAACCGAGTTGGCTGATAAAAGGCATGGCCGATAACTGAGGGTCCACAGTACTATGAAGGATGGGTGGAGGTGGGAAGTACAATGTCTGTACTATGGAGGGGTGGAGGTGGGAAGTGCAATGTCTGGACTCTGAAGGAGGGGAGGAGGTGGGAAGTACAATGCCTGGACTCTGAAGGAGGGGTGGAGGCTGAAAGTACAATGTCTGGGCTCTGAAGGAGGGGTAGAGGTGGGAAGTACAATGTGTGTACTATGGAGGGGTGGAGGTGGGAAGTACAATGTACTATGGAGGGGTGAAGGTGGGAAGTACAATGTCTGTACTATGGAGGGGTGGAGGCGGGAAGTACAATATCTGGACTCTGAAGGAGGGGTGGAGGAGGGAAGTACAATGCCTGGACTCAGGAGAGTGGAGGTGGGAAGTACAATGTCTGCACTTTGAAGGAGTGGAGGTGGGAAGTACAATGTCTGGACTATGGTGGGGTGGAGGTGGGAAGTACAATGCCTGGACTCTGAAGGAGGGGTGGAGGTAGTAAGTGTAATGTCTGTACTATGGAGGGGTGGAGGCGGGAAGTACAATATCTGGACTCTGAAGGAGGGGTGGAGGAGGGAAGTACAATGCCTGGACTCAGGAGGAGTGGAGGTGGGAAGTACAATGTCTGCACTTTGAAGGAGTGGAGGTGGGAAGTACAATGTCTGGACTATGGTGGGGTGGAGGTGGGAAGTACAATGCCTGGACTCTGAAGGAGGGGTGGAGGTAGTAAGTGTAATGTCTGTACTATGGAGGGGTGGAGGCGGGAAGTACAATATCTGGACTCTGAAGGAGGGGTGGAGGAGGGAAGTACAATGCCTGGACTCAGGAGGAGTGGAGGAGGGAAGTACAATGCCTGGACTCAGGAGGAGTGGAGGTGGGAAGTACAATGTCTGGACTATGGTGGGGTGGAGGTGGGAAGTACAATGCCTGGACTCTGAAGGAGGGGTGGAGGTAGTAAGTGTAATGTCTGTACTATGGAGGGGTGGAGGTGTGAAGTACAATGTCTGGACTATGGTGGGGTGGAGGTGGGAAGTACAGTGTCTGTACTCTGAAGGAGGGGTGGCAGTATGAAGTACAATGTCTGTACTATGGAGGGGTGGAGGTGTGAAGTACAATGCCTGGACTCTGAAGGAGGGGTGGAGGTGGGAAGTACAATGTCTGGACTCTGAAGGAGGGGTGGGGGTGGGAAGTACAATGCCTGGACTCTGAAGGAGGGGTGGAGGTGGGAAGTACAATGTCTGGACTCTGAAGGAGGGGTGGAGGTGGGAAGTACAATGCCTGGACTCTGAAGGAGGGGTTGAGGTGGGAAGTACAATGTCTGGACTCTGAAGGAGGGGTGGAGGTGTGAAGTACAATGCCTGGACTCTGAAGGAGGGGTGGAGGTGTGAAGTACAATGCCTGGACTCTGAAGGAGGGGTGGGGGTGGGAAGTACAATGTCTGAACTCTGAAGGAGGGGTGGCGGTATGAAGTGCAATGTCTGTACTACGGAGGGGTGGAGGTGTGAAGTACAATGCCTGGACTCTGAAGGAGGGGTGGAGGTGGGAAGTACAATGCTGGACTCTGAAGGAGGGGTGAGGGGGGAAGTACAATGTTGATCTGAGGAAGGGGTGGTGGTGGAAAGAAAAGTCTGTACTCTAAAGGAGGGGTGGGGGAATTTCAATTTGCCCTGTTAGTCCCCGGCCCGGGAAAAACCAAGAGGAAATGTGTAAAATTTTCCTTTTTTGCCTGTTCGGGGAGGGGGTTTTGGGGTAAAAAAAAGTACAATACAAAACGCCTTCAAAACAAACAATTTTGAGGAAAAATTTTTCCTTTGCCATTTGTTCTTTAACTCGTGTAAAAAAAAGGTCCAATAAAGAAAAATTCTTTTTTTCCCACAATTTAAGGGGAATTTAAACAACATTTGGGCAAACTTTATAAACGAGCAAAAAGGGCCCAGGCCCAAACCTTCTTTTTTTTTTTAAATTTAATTTTACAAACTTTATTTTTAGCTTTACCATTTCATCTTAAATTTTTGTTTACTAGTGACAGTTGTACATATTTTTCCCCTGTGTTCACCTATACTGTATAGACTATGTTGGGTTTACGACAATGGCTTAAAAAGCTGTTTTGGACCCGAACCGTTCGAAATTAGGGGAGTGATGTAGTTTATTTTTTATGGGGAAGTGTTGAGCCCATGGGGATCACAGCCAGAAGTGAGGTAATCGGTTTTGGTCGGGGGAGGAAGTGTTAAGATCATAAATATAAAACACGATTTTCAAAAACCCTGGAAAGGGCAAAAATCTGAAAACCCCCAGTGAGGAGTCTGGCAGGGGGTTTTTTTGACCGCTTGTCCATGTTTGTTAAGGGGTTTAAGAGTTGCCTCATTTTTATAATTGTGTGCAGGAGGAGAGGGGGACGGGGAACCACTGCACCCGTCAGCAAGTTCCGCCCGCAAGCTCGCTTCCCAAACTCCTTAGACTGCTCGATGCGACCAGACAAATATCAGCTCCAACGCTTCTTCCCACTAAGGTAATCATTATTGTTGTATTTATGACTAAGGTGAAACCTGTAAGGGTCTTACAAAACCCCGAGAATGGGAAATAAACGGTTGAATTCAAGGGAAGGGTACTACACTACTTTACGTCCAAGAAAATATATTGGAAATGTTCTCAGTCAAGTTATTTCCTCTTTGTTACTTAAAAACTTAAAAACCCTCAATAGCTATTATACCCATTATTCCCCACTCCCTTCACTCCAAAAATCATACTTTCCCCCCCCTTACTCAACAGCTCCCCAAAACTGCTTCCCCCCAAAACTGAAAGCCCCACCCCACTCTTCACCCCAACATTGCATACCTCACCCACTCTCTTCACCCCAACATTGCATACCTCACCCACTCCCTTCACACTTCATCTACCTTATGTCACCTGGCAGTGTGTACCTCCTGCAGCGTGGAGTGTTCCTGGAGTTCACACTGCAGTGGGCAAGCAGCACCAGCTGTCTCAGTGTGTATGTGGTTCGTCTAAACAGCCTGCCTCCCAAGTATCACAAGAGTAGCTGCACTCTCACCCTTACACTCACCAGTCCACCTAACAGGGAGGGAGGGGCGGTCGTCACCATCACCAAAACCTCACCCCGCCTCAGGAATGCTACTCTCAACCCAGAGTGCAACTACCTATTCTCCTACCCAGGTTGGTCAGAGTATAACTACCTCTTCTACTACCAGGTTGGTCCTTCCAATTACCGTTTCATCCCTGTACAAAATGTCAGCTCTCAGACATTTTCATCAAAAATCCTGCACTTGGGAGAGGAACTTTGTAGCAGCAATTTGGTCCAGTCTGAACCAGCATCAAGACATTAGAGAAAATAGTGGGCTCTATCAAGTCACAAACATATTTATCTGGGTAAAGAGTACATGAGCATATATAGTGTTGGGAGTCAAGTGGAGAATGTTGGGTAGGTTGCATCTGAGACGCACCTGCAGGTCCGTCTCAAATTCAACCTACCAATCATTCTCCACACTGTATATACAACCTCTCCTCACTTAACGACGGGGTCCCATTCCTTATAGTAGGTCAGTAAATGAAATAGTCGTTAAGCGAAGAGCATACTATAATGGTAGTGGGTTTGTGTCAACCATCTCTAGAATTTTTTAATGTCACCTTTGCATTTTTAGTATATTTTTCAATGTTTATACAGTAGTGTACTGTAAACTGTAATAAACAGAATAGAGGAAATCAGCTCTAATATACATTACTTAGGTTTGCATACTGGTTGGAGAGCTGGTCGTAAGTCCGAGTGGTAGATCTGTTTGTGACTTGATAAAGCCCACTGTGTGGGCAAATTTATTATTATAATCAAAAAGAAGCGCTAAGCCACAAGGGCTATACAGCGCTGCAGGGTAGGGAAGGAAGCGAGGGAATTGGGCAGCAGAAGGGGGAGGGGGCGATCAGTAGGTTACGAAAACAGCGGGGCAGGGGATAGTGCGGGGGTAGAGGGTAGCAAGAGATTGAGGTAGAAAGGGCTGAAGGTATCATCAGAGTTTGTGAAGTACGTAAGTCAGTTGTTGTCAAAAAGTCAATGAGAGAGTCCGAATGAAAGGTGGGTCCATCAGCGAGAAGGGAAGGTAAAGAGAGAGCAGCGGAGCGAAGACGACGTTGGAGGTATATTCTGCGTGCTCGTTGATAAACTGGGCAATCTAACAGAATGTGGCTGACCAATAATGGAACCTGACAATTCTCACAGAGAGGAGCAGGGTGCCTCTCCATGAGATATCCATGAGTAAGACGAGTATGGCCAATGCGGAGACGGGAGAGAGTAGTCTCCCAACCTTGGCACTGGTGGCAAGAAGACGGCCAGTAACCTATACTCGGTTTAATAGATTGAAGTTTGTTACAGAGCATAGTAGACCAACGTTGTTGCCAACGGGTGTGAAGGTGGGTAGCTATTGCAGCAAAATAGCCCGTAAATGGAACACCTCTAAATGAAACTGGTAGGTCATGTACTGCTGACCGTGAAGCAGTGTCTGCCTGTTCATTGCCCTGTACGTCAACATGACCTGGGACCCAACAAAAAACAATATCTTTATGCTTGGTAGAGATGCGGCGTAGCCAAAGTTGGATACGGAGGACTAAGGGGTGAGGTGTATCAAATTTCTGTATAGCCTGTAAAGCACTAAGGAAGTCTGAGACAACCACAAATGATGACACAGGCACAGATGCAATACAGATAAGTGCTGCAAGAATGGCATACAATTCAGCAGTAAAGATACTAGCCGAAGATAGTAAATGCCCTCGTACAACGCTGTCCAGAAACACTGCTGGGAATCCTACACCGTCAGAAGACTTGGAGCCATCTGTGTACACTGCAATGGCATGAGAATGAGAGTGGAAGTGGTCAAGAAAAAGAAAGCGGGAAGCTACCGTAGACAGTTGGGCTTTCGAGCATGGGAGTGAGAAAGAACAGACTCGAACAGCTGGAACTTCCCAGGGGGGTAGGGAAAAGTGAGATGCTACATGAACATAGAAAGGTGGTAATTGAAGAGAAGACAAGAGCGAATGCAGGCGAAGAGAGAAGGGACGGAGCAAACAGGGGCGGTGAACAAATAAAGAATGTCTACTAATATCGGTGACCATTCTATAAATGGAAGGATTGCAGAGATCATGAGAGCATACATAATAGCGAAGGCAATGGGCATTACGGCGATCGGATAAGGATGGAACGTTCGCTTCTGCATAGAGGCTCTCAACAGGGGGAGAGCAAAAGCACCAAGGCATAAATGAAATTTTAAAAATTTTGGGGGATAAATGGGGAAAAAAAGGTAAGAAAAGTAGAAAGGCCGCGGAATAAATCGGGGAACCTAACCTTTTCCAAAAATTGGGTTGGAAATGAGGAAATAAAGAATTGACGTAATTTTCCCCGGGAAAAAAAAAAGGGGGAAAAAGGGTTCGGGTTGGAAAAGGGGGGCTTTCGAGAGGATTGGAAAAAGGGTTCCGGGATAACCCGGTGGGGGGAAAAGGGGGCATAAAAACCTAAAAACGGGGAAATTTAAGAGGGAAAACAAAGGGGCCAAGAGATGCAAAGGAAAAAGGGGGAATTTAACAAAAAAAGGTTGTTAAAAAATTTGGTAAATTTATGTAAGGGAAAATTTAAACCCCAAATGGGGGGGGGTTGGCCCCTTTTTGGGAAAAGGGGGGAACCCGGGGCCTGCTGGAGGCCTTAAAGGGGGAAAAAATTGCCCCAAGGGGCAAAATGAAAAATCCCCCTTGGTGATGAAAATTTAATTGGAGGGAAGCCCCCTTAGAGGCCCAAATAAATTTATAAAAAGGGGGAAAAAATTTGGTTGGTGCCCCCGGGAAAAGAAAACCCGGGGGAATTCACCCTGGAAAATTTTTTCGGGAGGAGGAATTTAAACCCTTTTGGGAAAAGGAAAAGGCCTCCCAAAAAAGTTTAAGGGGGGTTTTGGGGACCCCGGGGGTAAAAGGAGTGGGATTGGGAAAATATTTTTAAAAGTTTTTTTATTTTGGTTTTTGGGAAAAAATTTAAAAACCCCTGGTGGTAATTCCGGGCCCGGCATTAAGGGGAAACAATGGGGTACCAAGCGGGTACGGGCTATGGAAGTATCCCTTAAAACCCCAATATTGGATTGGAAAATTTTGGTGGGCCAAAAAATTTTTATACCAAAATTAAAATTTTGTCTCAAAAACCCTTCCTCCCCCTTTCCCCAAATGGGGAAAACATTAAAAAACGGGGGGAAAAGGGGGGAAATGTCCCCGTTTAAAAGCCTTGGGAAAAGGGGAAAATAGTTTTCCCGGGGGCCTTAAAGAATTCCTTGGGTTTTTAAAATAATTTTTTGTAAGGCCTTAATAGGTCAAAAAAAAAAATTTTTAAATTTTTTGTTTTTTGGAATAAATTCGTGGTTTTCCCAAAAGTTTTGCCGTGATTCACAAGCGGAAGGGGGTTTGGTTCCCCTTTCCAAGTTTATTGAAGGGGAAAAGGACTTTTGTGTTTTAAAATTCCAAAAAAAAATTCATTTTCCGGGGGGTTTTCCAACTTTAAAGACCCCCTTTGGGGAAAAAAAAGGGGGAAACGGGGGTTTTTAGGTGGGAAGCCCCTTTTGCAAAAGGGGAAAAATGGAATTTTCCCAATTTCCCCTTGGCCAAATAAGTTGGGGAAAATCAAAGGGAAACCCCCGAAAATTTGTTGGACAAGAAATAATTTCCCACTCGATTGGGAAAAACTTTTTCCCAGTTTTTGAAAAAGGAACAGAATTTTTTTTGGGGGGAGAAAAAAAGCCAAAGTGGTGAACCCCGGTCGTTTTTGGGGAAAAAACAGGGGCAAGAACCCCACAAAAAAGGGCTTAAAATTTTCAGGAAAAATTTAGGGGGTTTGCTTTAAAACCGGAACCCCCCCAAACAGGGGGGGTGGAGTTTTCCAATTTTTTTTAACGCCCCCGAGAACAAAAGGGGGGAAACCACCAATGTGCACGCTAATTCTAGCAAATGCCCGGGGCCCAAAATTTGGGGGTAAAATAAAGTTTCTCTCCGGTTTTAAAACGGGGGCCTGGAGGGGAAAAAAGCTGGGATAAAGGGGGACAAGAAGGAACCTCCCCAAAACAGATTTTGAGAAAGGCCCCCCCAAATTTGGGGGGAAAAAGGGGGGTTTGGGGGTTTTTGGGGGGGGGGATTTTTTGGGGGGGGGTTGGGAAGGGGGGATTGGGGGAAATAAAAGGTTTTCTTTTAAAACTGGGAAAAAAGGGGTTAAAAAGTCTAATGGGGAGGGGAAGGGAACCCAACAAAAATTCATTGGGAAGAAATTTAATTGGCCAAAATAAAAATTGGGTGGGGGTTTCCCTGATTTTTTTTTAAAAAAATTGGGGGAAAATGGTTGAAAGAAAACCTTAAAAAATGACGGGGAAAATCAATCCCCCCCAGGGAAAGAGATGGGCTTTAAAAATTGCCCCGGGGTAACCAAAAAATTTGGGTGGGCCGTAAAAAAAACGGAAAAAAAAAAGGCCCCAAATTTAAATAAAAAATATTCCCCCCCGGGGAAGGAGGAAAAGAACCCCAAAGAACCCAAAGGGGTAAAAGCCAACCAATGGCAACCGGGGAAAAGGGCCCGGAAGGGGGAAAAGTACAAAAAATGGGTGTTTTAAACCCCCGGGGGTGGGAAAATAGGGGGGGGGGGGTTTGGGGGCGGGGGGCGGGGGGGGGGTTTAATGATAAAGGGAAATTTCCCTTAAAAGGGTTTCCCCTAAATCAGGAAAAGGATTGACGAATACAAATAAATTTTGGGCTGAGAGGGGGATGATAACAGCAGGGGGGTGTAATTTTTTTTTCCTGTAGGAAAAAACATCCAACAAAAAAAAACGGGGGAGAGCAACATCGGGGAAGCTCCCCCCTGTTTCCCCGAGGCAGCGACATTCCATTTGTAAATAGGCCATGATTGGTACGTTTAAAAGATACCTGAAGCCCGCGGGAAAGGGGAAACCTACGGACTAGGGGGGTTTTTAGAAAATTCCCCCCAATGCGGTGGAAAAGGAAAAACCCGTTAAAGGCAGCAAAGGAATGGTGCCGGGTAAAGGGAAAGGAGTTCCCCAGATGGAAAAGAGGAAAAAAAAAGGAACAGGGGTGGATCGGGTGTCCTTTAAATTTTTTTGGTTTTCTCAGCAATATTTTTTCCCAGAATTGCT